AAATGTCTGGTGGAATTCAACAGTGAAGCCATCCGGTCCTAGGGTTTTCTTTGTTGGGAGTGTCTTTATTCCTGATTCAATTTCCGCCTTGGTTTTTGGTCTGTTTAGCTTTTCTATGTCTTCATGACTCAATTTTGGCAGATTGTATGTTACTAAGAATCTGTCTGTTTCATCTAGGTTTCGCAATTTGTTGGCTTACAGCTCTGTATACTAATTTATGATGATGATTCTTATTATTTCTGTGGTATATGTTGTTCCATTTCCTTTTTCATCTCTGAATTTATTGATATGGATAATCTTCCTCCTTTTTTGTATGTTTTTTGTTTCAATCTTATTCATTTCTTCTTTAATTTCAATTATTTCTTTCCTTCTACCAATTTTAGGCTTTGTTTGTTGTTGTTTTTCTAGGTCCTTGAGATGCATTGATAGCTCATTTACTTGGTACCTGTCAATTTCTTCATGTAGGCACCAATTGCTATAAGCTTCCCTCTTAACACTGCTTTTGCTGTTTCCCATAAGATTTGATATGATGTGTTGTCACCTTCATTTGTTTCCAGAAATTTTTTATTTCACTTTTGATTTTCTGTACAACCTGCTGTTCATTCAGGACCATGTTGTCCAGCCTCCACGTGTTTTCTATATGATATAGAGGTTTTTTTGGACAAGCAGAGTGGACAGTGAGAGAGAGAGACAGAGAGAAAGGTCTTCCTTCCATTGGTTCACCCCCAAATGGCCACTATAGCTGGTGCGCTGCAGCCAGCGCACCATGCTGATCCGAAGCCAGGAGGCAGGTGCTTCCTCCTGGTCTCCCATGTGGGTGCAGGGCCTAAGCACCTGGGCTATCCTCCACTGCCTTCCTGGGCCACAGCAGAGATCTGGACTGGAAGAGGAGCAACCGGGACTAGAACCCAGTGCCCCAACCAGGACTAGAACCCAGGGTGCTGGTGCCACAGGTGAAGGATTAGCCAGGTGAGCCATGGCGCTGGCCAATCTAGAGATTCTTGAGTTGTTGATTTCCAGCTTTATTCCACTGTGGTCAGAGAAGATGAATGATTTGATTTAGGATATTTTGAATATGCTGAGACTTGCTTCCATGGCCTACCATATTGTCTATCTTAGAGAAAGTTCCATGCACTTGTGAGAAGCATGTGTATTCTGCTGTTGTGGGGTGAAAAGTTGTGCAGATATCCATTAGGTTCATTTGGCCTATAGTGTCAAATACCTCTGCTGATTCCTTGCTGATTTAGTGTATGGGTGATTTGTCCATTGCAGAAAGTAGTGTATTGAAGTCCACCATTACTATTGCATTGAATTCTAAGTCTCCCTTTAGATCTATTAACATTTCTTTTAAATTGGGTAATTGGTATATATACAATTGGGTATATATACATTTATTATAGTTACATCTTCCTGGTGAATTGATCCCTTAATTATTACATAGTGCCCTTCTTTGTCTCTTTTAACAGTTTTTATGTTAAAGTCTATTTTGTCTAATATTAGGATGGCAACACCAACTCTTTTTTGGTTTCTGTTAGCATGGAATATCTTTTTCCATTATTTCACATTCAGTCTGCATCTATTTTTTTTTTGACAGGCAGTTAGACAGTGAGAGAGAGAGACAGAGAGAAAGGTCTTCCTTTCCGTTGGTTCACCCCCCACAAATGGCCGCCACGGCCGGCGCACTGCTGCTGATGCACTGTGCCGATCTGATCTGAAGCCAGGAGCCAGGTGCTTCCTCCTGGTCTCCCATGTGGGTACAGGGCCCAAGCACTTGGGCCATCATCCATTGCCTTCCTGGGCCACAGCAGAGAGCTGGACTGGAAGAGGAGCAACCGGGACTAGAACCTGACACCCCAACCGGGACTAGTACCTGGGGTGCCAGTGCTGCAGGCAGAAGATTAACCAAGTGAGCCACGGCACCAGCCTGCATGTATTTTTGTTGGTGAGATGTGTTTATTGTAGGCAGCAAATAGATAGGTCTTGTTTTTAACCCATTCAGCCAGTCTGTGTCTTTTAACTAGAGAGTTGAGGCCATTTACATCCAAGGTGACTATTGATGAGTAACAACTTGGCCCTGCCGTTTTTCCATAAATATTCCTATTGTGTACTTTGGATTTCTTTTTTACTTCTATGGCGGGGGGGGATTTTCTGCCTTCCCATTCTTTCTTAATGATATCTTTCTGTGTTTCTGTGTGTAGCACATCTGTAAGCAGATTTTATAAGGCTGGCCTAGTGGTGACATATTCTTTCAGACTCTGTTTGTTAGGGAATGTCTTTATTTCACCTTCATTCATAAATAAGAGCTTTTCAGGGTACAGTATTCTGGGTTGACAGTTCTTTTAACACTTAGACTATTTTGCCTGTAGGGCTCCTGGTGAGAAGTCAGCTGTGAATCTAATTGGAGATGCTCTGAAAGGAATCTGGCATTTCTCTTGTGCACATTTTAGAACCTTTCCTTTATGTTTTACTGTGGAGAGTTTGACTACAATGTGTTGTGGTGAAGATCTTTTCTGATCATGTCTCTTAGGATTTTTATGTGCTTCCTCTATTTAGGTGTCCTTTTCTATCTACAAATTGGGGAAGTTTCCTGTAATTGCTTCACTAAATAGGCCTTCTAGGCCATTCTCTCTTTCCACACCTTCAGGAATTCCTAAGACCCATATGTTTGGTCATTTGATAGTATCCCATAGATCTCTAACACTGTTTAAGTTCTCTATTTTCTCTTCTCTCTCTCTCTCTCTCTTTTTTTTTTTTTTGGTCTGTAAGATTTCCAAAGATTTGTCTTCTATTTTGTATATACTATCTTCTGCCTTGCCAAGTCTGCTGTTAAAGCTTTCCACCACATTTTTATTTGATTTATTGAATTCTTCATTTCTAATATTTCATTCTGATTTCTCTTTAAAATCTCAATTTCATGGGGAAGAAATTCATTCATGTCATGAACAGATTTATTTAGTTCATGAATTGGCTTCTGATTGTTTTTGAGTAATCATGTGATTAATTTTTGATTCCAGGCTCTGGCATTTCCTCCATCTCTGCATCTTCATATTCTCATATTGAAATGTGTGTTCCTTTGGCGGGGACGTGGTGTCTTCCTTCTTGTTTCTTGAATGTCTGCATTTGTTTTTAGGCATTTGTGGAGCTAATTTAGGTTTTTTCCTTTGCAGCATTTATCTTTGATTTATGTCTCTGTGGCTTAGTGGAATGTCTACATTCTCAGTGAACACCAAGAGCTATGTGGTGGGTGCGGCCAGGAAAATACGGTCAATGCTCCAGGGTGAGGTAAGTATCCAGAATAACACCCAAGTTGGGTATGGTATATCTGGACACCCATCTTCATCCTGCACCTTCTCATGTAACTACCAAGTCCCCACAGTCTCAGGAACAAGGCTCCCACAGTTGATGGATCCAGAGGTTTCTCTCTGCCCTGCCAGCCTGTCTAGTCAACAGAGAGGCAGATATTCCCCAAGACAGCTGTGCTTAGGCGTCTTGACCCTAACCATCCCTTGCCCCACCATCCCACAAGGCTGCCCTGCAATCTCCCAGCAAGGCTCAAAGGCAGTTTCCTCTGTTAGAATTCCTGGATCACATGGACACACAAAAACCACTGGCCAAATCTTGCTACCTGCCCACCACTGCCACCAGAACGGCAGATTAGGTGTCCCTTTCAGTAAGCTGCTATGGCTGTGCACAAAGGATTCCATAGCTGACAACCTAGCCAAAAATAGTGCCTGCCCTCGCTCATCCCAGAAGTGGGCACTGCTGTGGGGAAGTTGGAGCAAGACATACATGTCCCCTCAACTTCCACTGGGTCCAGAGTCAACCACGGGCAACCACCAGCACCCAGGGCTCCAGTCCAGGTCCAGGACATGCTCTCCCCCTGGCTATATCCCCATGGGTCGCTGCAGTCTGCTCTCACCTCTGTCTCCAAGCTGACGCTCGCTCCAGCTCTCCCCCACTGCAGCTGTGCTCATGCTTGTACTGTGCGTCTGCTCCCTCCACACAGGTCCATGGCATTCCTGCTCTTCCCTTAAGCCTTGCAGTGAGTTTCCTCTCCAGTTCTCCACCAGAGAGTGCACTTCCTACACTTTTCTCTTCACTGTTTATCCTTAGCCCAGCTCAGCCTGTCACTCCCTAATCCACCCTCTTGGAATTCCATCTTTCTTGTTGTGTAAGTGTATGTATTTCTTTGAAAGGCAGAGTTGCAGACTAGGAAAGACAAAGTGAGTAAGAGAGAGACAGAGATCTTCCATCTGCTGGTTCACTCCTCAAATGGCCACTAGGACTGAGCTGGACAGGAAGCCTCAAACTCCATCCTGATTTCCCACATGGGTGGCAGAAGCCCAGGTACTTGGGCCCTCTTCTGATGCTCTCCCGGGGGCATTAGCAGAGCAGGTTGGGAAGTGGCTCATATGGGATGCCACTGTTGCAGGTGGCAGCTTAACCCACTGTGCCACAACACCAGCCCCATCATTTTTTTGAGAATAGCTGACTTGGCAAGTGAGGCAGTACCTCACTGTGAGTGTAATTTGCCATCCTGGTAATAGATGTTGAGCATTTTCCTATGCCAGTTAGCCATTTATATGTCTTCTTTTGAGAAACATCTATTCGAATCATATGCCATTTTAAATAGGATTGTTTCTTTATTATGAAGTAATTAGAGTTTCTGTTCATAGCCCAGACCAAAATAAAATAAAATAAAATAAAATAAAATAAAATAAAACAGAACTCAAGACTCTTCTGAGAATCTATGTACTATTCTAAGGCAAACAATCAATACAGGTATCCATTTAAGTATGTGTATATATGGGAGTGCCTCAAAAGATTATGGAAAATGGAATGAAAAGTTTAAGTTGATTCTGGTGCTAAATAACTTGAAATCCATGCAAATTTTTGATGACTTCTCATGTACATGGGCTTTTAACTGTAGATCAGAAATATAATTTCTCTTCGTTTACTTTTTAAGATTTATTTATTTCAAAGGAATAGATACAGGCAAACTAAAGCACACACAAGGGATGGGGGAGACAGAGAGACACACAGAGAGAATCTTCCATCTGTTTTTCTCTCCCCAAATGTCCCCAGGGGCTAGAGCTGTGTCAGATCCATGCCAGGAGCCTAGAACTCCATCTGGTCTCCAACATGGTGCATGGGCCCAAGCGTTTGGGCTATCTTGTGAGGCTTTCCCAGGCACACTGGAGGGAAACAGATTGGAAGTGGAGCCACTGGGACTTGAACCGGCACCCATATGATTCTGGCATTGCAGGCCATAGCTTAACCTGCTGGACCACAACACCAGCCCCAATCTTTTCCCTTTTGAAGAACAATGCATTCAGTTATGAAAACATTCATAATTTCTCCTAAAAGATGAGCTTTCAGAGCACAGACACTGACCAGGTGAGGAAATGCATTTTACAGTTTGTTAGAACTGAGTACTTGTGTTTTTTAACTAAATCTTGATTAAATCATTGAGGGTTGAGTCCTGTTCCTCTTAACCCTGGCTATAAAAATATCCCGTACTCGTTATCATTTAATATTCAATCTGTAAGAGTTCTACAGCCAAGAGGTAACTCTTGTGTACTTGTATTCAATTCTTTCCAAAGTTCTTTTCCAGTTCTCCATACTTTCTACGAATCCCCACAGGAGCACATAAAGGGAAAGGTCATCAGGACAGCAACCAATCGACTTAAGTTGCAAAATGAATTATCAAACTATTTTACCTTCTGTAGTGACCTAGAAAGTCAGCATTCACTGTGATGTTCAGTGTTTCCAGAATGAAAATTTTCTTTGTATCAAGACAACATATGAACACCAAGTGTACGACAGGCTGTGCTGGAGTTCTCAAAAGAAAGCACAACCAGAACCCCTCCTGCCCTGTCAGTCCTCTCAGCTGCTCTCACACCAGCTGGGCAGCAGCCTTCAGCAAAAACACAGGGACGCTGAACAGACAGAATCCACTGGAACAATTTTCTAAGCCAAAGAAATGCATTTCAAGTTTCCTCCATTCTTCAACAAGTGGTTTAAGTTCTTATATCCCCAAATGGCTTCTGAGAAACGCCTACCCAAAACTCGTTTATAACACATTCTACCTCTTTTTCTTTTCTTTTTTTTTTAAGGATTGATTTATTCATTTCAAGGGAAAGTGACACAGACATGGGAGAGCTGGGCCAATCTGAAGTCACGAGTCAGGAGAGTCTTCCAGGTGTCCCAGGAGGTGCATCTCTGGGTTCACACCCTAAATGGCCAACAGGCCTGGAGCTGGGCAGATCTGAAGCCAATAGCCTTGAGCTTCTTCTGGACTCCCACTCGAGTACAGGGGCACAAGGACTTTGAGACATCTTCCACTGCTTTCCCAGGCCATAGCAGAGAGCTGGACCAGAGGTTGAGCAGCCGGGAATTGAACCTGTGTTCCTAGGCGATGCCAACATCCAAGCAGCAGCAAGCCCTCCATCTCTTTTCCAAAGGCATCCCAAAGCATGCAAATGATCTTCCACAGTCTTCTCAGTGATAATGAAGTCTCCTTTAAATGAGGAAACTTACACAAGATTGGGAAATGGCTCTTTTTTTTTTTTAAAAGAGGTTGCTCAAAACATTAGCCTAAAAAATGTCAAGTGACTAAGCTAAAGAGCTTAGCTACCAGATTCGGCACTTCCTGCTCAAGTCCAGTTGATCTCCGATGATCCTGAGTTGAGTGGCACATTCGACTTCCAGCTCTAAGAAAAAGCAAAATATCCATATTAACACGGGCAGTACTCCCAGCTGTACCTGCAAGGGTTAAGACAGCCATCCAAGTGACAGGCTGAATATCCCAGGGCATCCTGCCATTCCATCCAACCACAACTTTGGCAGCCCCGAACTGTGATAAGGAAAACTGATCCCTTTCACCAAAAGAAGTAGGAAGTACCCCCAGTGTTTCCTGAATGTCTGGATCCTGTTGCACACCTATAAGTGGATTGACAGCTAATGAATTGGAGGAGGACGCTCTGTTGCTGTTGTTCTCAGGAGCGAGGTGTGCAGGACAGCAGTGCTCTGTCCTCTGGAGCTCAGTGAGCAGCACTGGAATGCTGTGCACAGGTTGGATCTCTCAGAGCTCTGGCCAGCACGGGACATCACCTGTGCGGGGCACCACTCCCTTCACCTGGGCCCAGCTCCGGACATCCTGCCAGGGGCTCAGGTACCAGCACCATGACCCACCCACACTTCCAACCCACAGCCTCAGGCCCTTCCTCCTAAACCCCTTAGCAGATAGATGGCCTGTGCCTTTGATGGGATGTCTCTAGGGGAGAGGAGGTGAGGGGGCTACCCTGAAGCCTGCCAGAATAGAGTGGGGAATGCGGGGAGGTGGGGGAAAGAACACTGGGGACCAAGCCCCTCTTCCACTGCCACCTCCCCGCCGCCCTGGAGAAAACTTCCTGGAGGGTCCCTAAGTCACGGACCAGGCTGCAAACCTGGCCCAACATTGACCTCCCATAGCTTAGACCCTGCCCCAGGGCTGACAGGTTAGGGCACCCAGGGCTCTCCCAGGGCGGCAGGGCTGGTACCCGACAGAGGGCGCGCCGGCCTCGGCTGGGCGTTCTTCTGTGCCTTCTTCCCAGACTTCTCCGCCAAGGCCACTGCTGAAAACTCCGCAGACACGGGGAGCGGCAGTCCCGTTCCGGAAAGCTGAGCGCCACAGCCACCTTCCAGCTCTACAACGAACGCACAACTGGAGATGAGCATTGAGAAGGTTCCAAATGGGACTGGCGGGAGCTAAGTAGGGACAGCCTGTTGCCCAGCACGCGGATGCCGAGCCTGCGGGCACGGCTGTTGTCGCGGGCCGGCGTCCTATACTCGCGTGTGTGGGAGCGCAGATACTGTGCAGGGAAATCCCGCAGAGAACTACCTGGGCGCGTGCCGGAGGCGCGCGCCAAGGCGCCAACCTGGCCCGACCCTGCGCACCCGGTGCTAGGGAATCTTCTAGGACCAGGCGCGGGGCTTGTGTAAGGGTGAGCGATGGGCGCCTGCTGTGGAGTCACCCCGGGAACCTAGCGAACGGGTAATGCGAATGGTCTGAGCGCGACGGGGCGCGATGAGCCAGCCAGGTATCTTGGGACTCCTCCCGTGACATAGAGAAGTCGGCCCCCACCCCTGGTCCCCGGTTCACCTTAGGGCATCCTCCTCTCTTTCACGTTTCCTCCCCGTGGACACAGGGAAGTGCACACGGATGAATGGGGAAACAGCCCGCAGCCCGCATGCCTATGCCGAGGGCCACTGGACCTTCGCTGCTGCTGTCCTCACACTGACTGTGTAGGAGACCAGAAGTCATCCCGGGAAAATTCCCCGCGGAATTACCTGGGTGCACAGAGGTGGCGCGCGCCAAGGCGCCAACCTGGCCAGACCTTAGAGCTCTTGTGGTCTGAGCCCGAACTCCATGGCTGACCCTGCCTCTAAAAGACCTTCTCCCCGACCCCCATCTAGTCAGGGTCTCCGCAAGCCAGAACCGGTCCGTACCTGCTGGCGCTCGCTTCGGACTCGACTGAGATCTCTTGCGCACCCTCTTCCCAGGCATGGTCAGGAGGACCGCTGGGACGTGCGCCGCCGGTGCCAGGGACTCTTCCAGGCTCCGGCGCTAGGGCCCGCGGTGATAAGATGCTCGCGCTAGGGTGTGCGATGATCCCTGTGAGCACACGCGCAGCAATGTTCGCCCTGGGGAGCCGGAGAGTGCCGAGAGCGCCAGGGCACGCTGAGCCAGCCAGGTCTTGCAGGGACTCCGCCTCCGGTGACAGGGAGAAGCCAGACTCCAGGCCCCGCCTACGGCCCCGCCCCACGCGCACCCGCGCTGCTAGCGGAGAGTCTGCGATCCCGGGAGCCGTGGCCATCGCGTCCTGCCTGTGCCGCGACCGCGGAGACCCAGGCGTCCCGGAAACGCAACTGGACGCGAGGCGCTGGGCACCACAGACCCTGCTCAGCCCCACAATTACTTCCTTAGAACGCGGGTGCGCTGGGCTTTAGGATCCACAGGGAGCGCCTTGCCTTGGAACCCACTGCCCGCGTCGCGGGGACTGGGGGCGGCCGGAGGGGAAGGCTTTCCAGGGACAGGTGGAGGCAGCGAGAGGCCTGGCGCCGCATCCTCCTCGGCCATTGGTCCTTAAGGGACTCAGGACGAGGCAGCGAGTGGCTGAGACCTGAGAGAAGCCCGCGTTAGGAACCGCAGAGGAGAGGCCAGCGGCCCTGGAGAAACAACCAGCTCCAGACATGACTCACTTCTAAACGGAGACTTCGGGCTCCCATTCCAGCGCCAGGACGGAGAAGCGTGGGTCCCCGCGGGGAGGGTGAGTGCGGCAGCGGGTGCGGGTCCTGGTTTTTAGTAAAGAGACGTCGGGTTTTCGGGGGTACAGGGACAGGAGACTCCGGGAGTGTTGTGGGCACAGATGGCAGTGTGGGAATGGAGGCAGCACCTGGTTGCGCAGCAGGCAGGCGGGGCTGCCTTGTGCCAAGCGCTGTGGCTCTCAGGTTCTCATTCTGTCCTGGAAATAGCCCAGGCTGCCTTGGAGGTGCAGTACCCACGTAGGCAGGGAGCTGACGCCCTCAGAGCCCAGGCCCACAGGGAGCCACAGCACTGACCCAGCAGTGACCAGTGGACCCAGTGACCAGAGGACTCCCTGGACAGCGCATGGTCTTCTGTTGACCTGTGCAGTTCAGGCTGTGCTTCCCGTTGGGGCACAGCGTTGGTCTGCAGCAGGTTTGTGAACCTCTGATGGGTTACCAACGGTGGAAAAATCGAGAAGCCTGCATTAGAAGCCTTGAGTTCACTGTTCTGGGCAAGTCCTAGGGCCTGACAACCTGGGGTCCACTGTGCAGATGTGCAGAGTAGTTCAGATGTGGTCAAGCCCCTCCTCCACAGCCCTGGCAGCTCCTGTTCCCCAGAACACAACCTGCTGCTTGCCTTTCTCACCTGCATTATCTGCACGGAATAGACATTGTTTGTCTTAAATCATGCAATGGCCACAAACTAGCAAATGTGTATTTCTTTCAGGGCCCTGCAGAAGGTATAGACAGGTCTATAAGCATGGAATAAACCACTCTTGACTTCAAACAGCTTAGTTTTGAGACTGATGTAGGGTGTTTGTGTGTGCAGCCAACAGGTAGATACAAACATTAGGTACACTGTGGCTTTTAGGGGATGGGAAATTCCACCTGCTGGGGGAAAGAAGGAGAGAGGGGCAGGAGGCCAGATGCAGAGTGGGCCAAGGCAGCTGCATGACTTCTATTTGTTTTATAAGATTTATTTATTTGAAAGGCAGAATTAAAGGAAGAGTAAAGCCCACACAAAGGATGGGAGGAAGGGAAGGAAGGAACCAGAGAAAAAGAAAGACACACTCACAGAATCTTCCATCTGCCTTTTCACTCCCCAAATGACCACAGTGGCTAGGGCTGGGCCAGGCCCCAGCCAGGAGCCTGAAACTCCATCCGGGTCTCCAACATGGGTGCATTGGCCCAAGTATTTGGGCTACCTTCCAATGCTTTCACAGGCACATTAGCAGAGAGCTAGATTGGAAGTAGAGCCACTGGAATTCATATCAGCACCCATATAGGATGCAGGCATTGCAGGCACTAGCTTAACCCGCTGGACCACCTTAGCAGCTCCAATCTTTTCCCTTTTAAAGAACATTATATTGCAATTGTGAAAATATTCATAATTTCTCCTGAAAGATCAGTTTTCATAGCATAGCCAGGTGGCAAAATGCATTTTACAGATTTTTATAACTGAGTACTTGTTTTACTAAATCTCAATTAAATTACTTAGGATTGAGTCCTGTTCCTATTATCGCTGATTATAAAAAACAAATCCTACTCTTTATCATTTAATATTAAATTTGTAAGAGTTCTACTGCTAAGAGGTAACTCTTGTGTACTTGTTTTCAATTCTTTTCAAAGTTATTTTCCAGTTTTCCATACTTTCTATGAATCCCCACTGGAACACATTTAGTGAAAAGTCATCGGAACAGGAACAAATCGATTTAAGTCAAAACAAATGAATTATCAAATTATTTTACCTTCTGTAGTGACGTAGGAAATCAGCATTCACTATGATATTCAGTGTTCTGAGAATGAAATTTTTCTTTGTATCTAGATAATATATAAACATCAAGAAATACACATTGTGCTAGACAAAGCAAAGACACTGCACTCTCTCTCCTGCCCTGTCAGTCATCTCTCAGCTGCTCTCAGGCCAGGCTGGGCAGCAACCTTCAGCAAAAACACTGGAGATACCACCAACAAGAAAAAAGCCGCTAGAACAATTTTCTAAACAAAAGAAATGCAGCAGTAGTTACCCTCCTACTATCAAGGCTCTGACATTCTTCCTTTCAACAACTGGTTTACGTTCTCACATTTCCAAAAATGGTTTCTCAGAAATGTCTACCCGAAACTCTTTATAACATTTTCCACCTCTTTTTCTTTTCTTTTTATTCTTAAGATCATTTATTTGAGAGGCAGAATTATAGAGAGAAAGAGAGAGACAGAGACAAGACAGAATCTTCCATCTGCTGGTTCACTCTCCAAATGGCCCATAGCTGGGCTGATCAGAAGCCAGGAGTCAAGAGCCAGGAGCTTCTTCTGGGTCTCCCACATGGGTACATCTGCTGGTTCACTCCCCAAATGGCCACAATGTCCAGAGCTGGGCTGATCTGAAGCCAGGAGCCAGGGTCTTCTTCCAGGTCTCCCACGTAGGTACAGGGGCCCAGGGACTTGCTGCTCTCCCAGGCACATCAGCAGAGAGCTGGATTGGAAGTGGAGCAGCCAGGACTCAAATTGGTACCCACATAGGGAGCCAACAGTGCAGGTGGCGGCAGCCAGTCCTTCCATATCCTTTTCCAAATGCATCTCAAAGCTCACAAATGATCATCCACAGTCTTCTCAGTGATAATGCAGTCTCCTATAAGTGATGAAACTTGCACAAGATGGGGAAATGGTATTTTTTAAAAAAAAGTTGTCTGTCCAGCAAATAGCACAGAAAAATGTCAGGGGACGAAGTTGAAGAACTTAGATATGAGATTCAGTAGTTTTCTGCGCAAATCCAGTTTATCTCCGATGATCCTGAGTTGAGTGGCACATTCGACTTCCAGCTCTAAGAAAAAGCAAAATACCCATGTTAACATGGGCAGTACTCCCAGCTGTACCTGCAAGGGTTAAGACAGCCATCCAAGTGACAGGCTGAATATCCCAGGGCATCCTGCCATTCCATCCACCCATGGCTTTGGCAGCCCCGAACTGAGATAAGGAAAACTGATCCCTTTCACCAAAACAGGTAGGAAGTACCCCCAGTGTGTCCTGAATGTCTGGATTGCTGTCACACACCTATAAATGGGTTGACAGCTAATGAACTGGGGAAGGACACCTGTTGGCTGTTGTTCTCAGGAGCGAGGTGTGCAGGACAGCAGTGCTCTGTCCTCTGGAGCTCAGTGAGCAGCACTGGAATGCTGTGCACAGGTTGGATCTCTCAGAGCTCTGGCCAGCACGGGACATCACCTGTGCGGGGCACCACTCCCTTCACCTGGGCCCAGCTCCGGACATCCTGCCAAGGGCTCAGGTACCACCACCATGACCCACCCACACTTCCAACCCACAGCCTCAGGCCCTTCCTCCTAAACCCCTTAGCAGGTGGCCTGTGCCTTTGATGGGATCTCTCTAGGGGAGAGGAGGTGAGGGGGCTGTCCTGAAGCCTGCCAGAATAGAGTGGGGAATGCGGGGAGGTGGGGGAAAGAACACTGGGGACCAAGCCCCTCTCCATTGCCACCGCCCGCTGCCCCAGAGAAAACTTCCTGGAGGGTCCCTGAGGCACGCGCCAGGGCGCAAACCTGGCCCGACATTGACCTCCCACAACTTAGACCCTGACCCCTGGGCTGACAGGTTAGGGCACCCAGGGCTCTCCCGGGGCGGCGGGGCTAGTACCCGACAGAGGGCGCGCCGGCCTTGGCTGGGCATTCTTCTGTGCCTTCTTCCCAGACTTCTCCGCCAGGGCCACAGCTGAAAACTCCGCAGATACGGGGAGGGGCAGTCCCGTTCCGGGGAGCTGAGCGCCACAGCCACCTTCCAGCTCTACAACGAACGCACAACTGGAGATGAGCATTGAGAAGGTTCCAAATGGTTACTGGCAACCGTTCTCATAGGCACATCCAGCGGCAAGTTAAACATCCCAGAGGCGTCACTTCACTTCAGTTTCATATGCACCTGTTTTCACTACCAATGTTGCTGAAAATAGGTGCACGTGTGTGTGGGCGCACACACACACATGCACACATATACACACACGCACACACACATGCACACGGATAAGAGAGCTAAGGCTAAGAATAAGGGCTCAGTAAATCATAGTTTAGATAGAACCTTCATTAATAGATGAATCAAAATTTGCTATTTTCCTCATGAAAATTTTTTATATTTCTCATAAAGGAATCAGAAAAATCTCCTTCCAAAATTAATCTATACTCTCCAATATAATTTCTAAATTGACATTTTACTCAAAGCCCACTTATGTCTGCAAGCCCAGTGAGCACCAACTCACTGCCTGCCTTGAGAAGAGTTAAGCAAAAACTAAGTGATGTTTAATCACCTGTTTACTACTTTTTAAGAGCTTAGGCATGATAAAGCCTGTTTTAAAGACAACAATGCCTACAACCTAAATTCCAAGTATGCTTTTGCAGTAAGTGAATATACTAATCACTATTTTCTCTAAACCATGATTTATTCGAGGTCTTTTTATCCACTTCAAGATCATGACCATGAAAATTCACATTATCCTGTCCATTTTGTAAGCAGACAATGCAAACCTCCTACTTATGTTCAAGATAAATAAAAACTGTAACTACATAGTAAGCTTTTAAACTAATTTCCCTCTCCACATGAACTGAGTTTATTCCTTACAAATCACTAGCCAAAGACTGAGTAAGTCTCTTAAAATGTCCTTCTTTATGGGCTACAGGTCCAGCATCTTGAGAGGTATTTACATTCTATTAACCGTGAGAGGTATTTACATTCTATTAACCATCTTCTTCGTCTTCTTCGAATGCTCCACTCAGCATAGGAATTTCGCAAGTCCTATGAGGAAAAACTCTTTCACCCAAAAAGGCACACAATGGCTCCCAAAGGTTCGCTGAATTTTTTGATTTCTATTATACTTGGAAGCGGACTTGCATCTAATCGAATTCAGGATGGGCTCTCTGCTGTCCAGGGTCCCCAGGGACGCAGCGGGATCTGAGGATGCTATGCACAGGTTATGTCTGGGAAGCACGGTCGGGAATCGGGACGTTACAAACATCGAGCAACGCAGTCTCCAGCCAGGCGACAGCAGCCCGGTGCCAGTCTGGCCAGGGCCACCTCTGCAACACACCACTCCCTACGCACGCCAGTGCGCTCCGCACAAAAGGGGCCATGGTCAGCTGACTCATCAGCTCCTCAGCGACTCCGACTTCCTGCCCAGGGCGTCGCCTGCTTTCCAGCGGAGCCCTTAGCTCCTGACGTCCCATCAGATGGGACCCATGGAACGCGGGGGCAGAGAGGGTGAACCTCAAGCGCAGGGACACTGCAGATGCGGGACGGGCGTGCAGCGGGCGAGATGTGAGTGAAAAACCTCCGGGGTCCAACACACTCCCCAATCCGCATCCCCGTCCCGCACAATCTCGTTGTCTATACCGCTGTCCTCTGAACTCAGACGACTTCTGGGCTCCTCCACACGCGAGTGACGGCGAGGTGGCTTGAAGCCGCCATCAGTCTCGCGTGGAGCAGCGGCGGTGCAGGTCGGAACGGGGCAGCGATGAGTGCACCCGAGGACCCCAGGGGTCTCCGCCAGAGGCCAGGGGGTCCCGCAGCATCGCCCGCCCCTCCGTGCGAGGAAGGCGACTTCGCATCGGGGCAGCCGCCTCGCCTGCTGGTTCCCTCCCAGTGGCCGCGGGGAAGCGCACGCGGGGAAGAAAGGGGAACAGCCTGCAGCCCCGCACGCCAAAGCCCAGCCCCGCTCTCCAGCCCGCCCGCCTCCGCGGCCATCGTCCGGGGAAAATCCCCCGCAGAACTACCAGGGGGCGTACAGGAGGCGCGCGCCAAGACGCCAACCTGGCCCGACCTTGGAGTCGGAGCCCCAGGAGCCGCCGACCCCGCCTCGATGAGACCTTTGCCCGACCCTCGCCCGGCCAGGGTCTCCGCGCACCGCAACCGGACTGTACCTGCTGGCGCTCGCTTCGGACTCGATTGAGATCTCTTGCGCGCCCTCTTCCCGGGCATGGTCAAGAGGACCGCTGAGAAGTGCTCTGCTGGTGCCGGGGACTCTTTTAGGATCCGGCGCTAGGGCGCGCGACGAGCGCGGGGATTGGCGCTAGGGCGCGCGAGGAGAGCGGAACTGTGAGCGCACGCACCGCACCGGCGGCCCTGGGGATCCGGAGAGGACTGAGCGCGCCAGGGAGCCTGGAGCCCGCCAGGTCTTGCAGGGACTCCGCCTCCCGTGACGTAGAGAAGCCTAAACCCAGGCCCCGCCCCACGCGCGCCCGCGCTGCTGGCGGCGAGTCGTGGGGAGCCGCCGCCACCGCGCCCTGCCTGCCCGGACCTCGGAGTCGCCCGGTGGCGCCGAAACGCAGCAGGGACGCGGCGCGGGGGAAGACGGGGCAGACCCTGCTCAGCCTCAAAATTACGGCCTTAGAACGCGGGCGCGCTGCGCGTTAAGGATCCGCAGGCAGACCCGGACCTGGGACCCACTGCCCGCGTCGCGGGGACCAGGGCTTTCCAGGGACAGGTAGGGGCAGCGAGAGGCCTGGTGCCGCGTCCTCCTCGGCCTTTGGCCCTTAGCGACTCAGGGCGAGGCAGCGAGTGGCAGAGACGGGAGAGAAGCGGGCATTAGGAACCGCAGAGAAGACGCCAGCGGCCGTGGATAAACAACCAGCTCCACACAGGACTCACTTCTAAACCGAGACTTCCGGATCGGAGCCCGGCGCCAGGACGGAGAAGCGTGGGTCCCCGCGGGGAGGGTGAGTGTGCAGCGCTGGGCAGGTGCAGGGCCCTGGTTTTTGAAAGGCGAAGTCGGGTGAAGCTGCGGACCTGTGGCTCCAGGCCAGGCATTGGCCTAGGGAGCAGAGGCGGTGCCGGGCTGCGCAGCCGGCGGTCTTGTGGGGCTGCCTTGTGCCACAGGCTGTGGCTCTCTTTCACTCTGTCCTCAAAACAGCCCCGGACGCTTTGCAGGTGCAGAACCTGAGGTTTGCGTAGATCAAATCCTATCCCTGAATTCCCACAGGCAGGGAGCCCAGGCCCACAGGGAGCGACAGCACTGACCAGGCAGTCACCACCCCAGGGACAGTGTGTATCCTGTGAGGATCAACAGCTGAGGATGATGATGTTGAGCGCCAGATGGACGCAGCATTGGGAGGTACACGGTGTTGTGACTGTGTGGCTTTTGGGGGATGGCAAATTCCACTTGCTGGGAGAAAGGAGAGAAGAGGCCAGAGGTGGGCTGCAGAATGGGCCAAGCCAGCTGGGTGACTGTGGACTGGCAGTGCTCCATCGACTGCTTTTTTCACATCTAACGTTCGTGTTAGGGAGTTAGGAGCCCAATGTGCAAAGCTCTTCTTAATTGTCTTCCTGTAGAAAAGTCGTGTATCATTTAATGTTGGGCTTGAAAAATACAGTCATAAAGATATCTTGGCCACTGAAGTGAGAAAATAATGGAAATAACTCTCAGGAAGCAGTAGAACCCCCTACTATCTGTATGGGAAACAAAGAGGGGGGGACTGGTGACGATGACCGCTTTTAAAACTGTCTCCAGCTGATCCTCCTGATGGGCCAAATAGGAAATGACAGTGCAGATCTGCCCATGTCTGTGCTGTGGCTTAGAGTGTTATTAAAGTTACATGAAACAAGCATGATTAGTAACAGTTATTCATGCATTTATGAAGAAAATGGAATTGGACTGCTGAACATTATTGTGATACAGGAGGTGGTGTTTAGAGGAAGCCTGTGGTGAAATATTCAGGCTGCGGACCTCATTTTGGTAATTGTAATAAAGAGGGACTTGGTTTATTTCTATAGCGCATGTTTGGTAACAGGAAATTCATCTGATGCTGCCTTCTGTTAAATATCTATTTTAAGGCAGCCATTGTGCTAGGCTATGGGAAGCCAGTGCACCCTGCCTCCATGGTCCTTCCCACCATAGAAGGACAGGGACCTCACTAACGTCCTGTGCTTGAGGATCACTTCAGAGGTCCTTGTTGGTGCCCAGCAGGTGAGCCCCCTGCTGTAACGCCCACATCCCATAGGGGTCCTCAGTTCCTGTCCCAGCTGTTCTGCTTCCAGCCCAGCTCCCCACTAAGGCACCTGGGAATGTCCTGAATGGTGGCCCACGTACTTGGGGCCTGCCACCCACATGGGAGACCTGGATGGAGTTTGTGACTCCTGGATTCGGCCTGGCCCAACCTTGCCATTGTGGCCTTTTGGGGAATGAATCAGAGGGAAAGAAGTCTTTCTCTCTCCGTCTCTTCCTCTTTCTGTGTCACTGTACTTTTCAAATAAATAAATAAATCTTTAACAAGAAATCACTTGAGTACATTCTTGATGTGCAGACTGGTCCTGGAGCTCTGGTTGGACCTGAGATTCCGCATCATTTTTTTAAACAAATGTTTATATATTTTACGTAAAAATCAGAGAGAGAGAGAGGGAGGGAGGGAGGGAGGGAGAAAGGGAGGGAGAAAGAGACCTTCAATCATGTAGTTTACTCCGCAAATACCCACAACAGCCAGGAACTTCATCCATGCTTGCCACATAGGTTGCGGTGCCCCAAGCTCCTGCTGCCTCCTAGGATTCACATGAACTAGTAGCTGGATTGGAAGCAAAGTAGCCGGGACTGGAACCAGGAGCTCTGCCACAGGATATATGTTTTCCAAGCATCACTTTCCCCTGCTAGGCCACAATGCCCACCCCAGGCCTCTGCATCTTGGGTGAACTGGTGATGGTGATGCCTCTGGTGAGTGGACACTGAGTAGCCAGGCCAGAGAGGGCAGAGATGGTAAAGCAGCCAGTGCAGGGAACAGTGCGACGGTGCTCTGCCAGGCATCTGTGACAGCTGCAGAACTGCAGGGCGGCCAGGAGCAGGAAGAGCGTCTACACAGAGCCCCGGGGCTTGGCTGGGACTCTGAAGCCTTGGGGCCCTGGGAATGAGGGGGATTCAGCAGTGTGAGGTGGGGAGAAGGGAGTGGTGAGTACAGAAATCCACTGGAGGAGTCTGGTTGTTATGGGCAGCCAGTGGGGCCCACTGAGGGCTCTAAGCAGGTGAGTGCTATGATCACAGTGTAGATTCCAGCGGTCTGGATTCTCTCAGCCTCAGTGTGAGCTGCGTAGGCAGGCTTAACCCAAAGACCCTGCCATTTGAAGCTATTACATTAATTCTCACAGGACATGATACTGTCATCCAAGACAGCCACGGTTGCAACCTGTCTTCTGAGAACTCCCACGTTTCCTGTCCAGGGTAGGACCACCTCCTGCTAAAGCATGTCTCAGGTTGTTACTTTTCCCACCATACATGTGGTTAATATCCTATCCTACACTCAGTCCTAGGGCTGTTGTAGAAAATACCACGAGCTGGTGGCTTGAAGCAGTGGAAAAATGTCTCTCATAGTTCCGGAGGCTCAAGTGCAAAGGCAGGCTGTTGGCAAGGCCGTACCCTCTCTGAGACCCGTGAGGGGTCTTCCTGCCTCTCTCAGCTGCTGGTGTTGCCTGCGGTGGTCATTTGTCAACGCTTCCCGGAACCTCTGCTTTTGTGTGCATATGGCCTTCTCCCTTGTGAGCCTGCATCTGAACTTCCCTTTTAGGAAGACATTGTTGTTGCAATACAGCAACTGCACTAAGCCAGTAGGACTGCATTTGACTTACTGCTCTGCAAAGACCCTGCTTCTAAGTAAAGTGACCTTCACAAGGTGGAAGGTTGGGACCAGGACTTTATATATCTCTGGGGCTCCGTAATTCAACCCCAACATTTCCCTTTATAAGTTGCCTTTAAATTTTTAAAAATCTTCTATGGAAACATTTTTTCATCCCATTGCATTCTGCAAACCTTCATAAACCTGGCAGCTTGAATTAAACCTCAGGAACAGTGTAGACTGAGTAAGGAATACATCGGTTGCCCTCTGAGGGAACAGATTTATGACACCTGTCATCCAGGAAATGTGTGTATCCTACATGGTGTTCAGTGGAAGTTGTGGTGGGACACACTCTCCACACCTCCCTCTCACAACTCAGCATTTTTTCAGTAAATGCTTTGAAAGAACTTAAAAGTAAATTGAGTTTCTATTAGTGTAACATACACCCACATTTCAAAATCTGAAAAAAATTTAATATCTGAACACAACCTTTATAAGGTATAAGTGCCTTAACAGATATCTCAAAACATATCTCAAATTATCAAGGTTATGTGTGACAAACCCACAGTCAATATCACATTGAAAGCAAAACACTGCAAGCATTCCTCTCAGATCCGGAATAAGACAAGGAAGCCCATTTTCACCACTCTCATTCTATCTAGGGCTGAAGTGTTAGCAAGAGCAATTAAGGAAGTGAAAGAAACAAATGGCATTGGCATTGGACAGGAGGAGGCAAAATATTCACATTTGTATGTGTGATGTCCTACATACCCTCGACATGCCACCAAGGGCTATGGGAACTGATACCAATTCAGTAAGGTCACAGGATACAAAGTCAACACACACACAAAAGGCGGCATTTCATCACCACAGTGTTCTTGCAAAAGAAAAATCAAGAAAGAAATCCTACTCACAATAGCTACACCCAAACCATTGAGAAATCGATGTAATCCCCTACAAAGTGCCCAACAGAAGATCAGAGTATCTCACGATTTAGCAAGGGGAATAATAAGTGTGCTGGGCCTTGTGGTACACTGGCTGAGGTGCCACTTGGGACGCCCCCAGCCCAGGAGAGCCCAGCGACTCTGCTTCTGATTCAGCTTCCTGTGAATGGATTCTTTTTTTTTCTTTAAGATTTATTTATTTATTTGAAAGTCAGAATTACACAGAGAGAGGAGAGGCAGAGAGAGAGAGAGAGATTGGTCTTCCATCTGATGGTTCACTCCCCAGATAGCTGCAACGGCCGGAGCTGTGCCAATCCGAAGCCAGGAGCCAGGAGCCTCTTCCTGGTCTTCCACGTAGGTGCAGGGGCCCAAGCACTTGGGCCATCTTCTACTGCTTTCCCAGGCCATAGCAGAGAGCTGGACAGGAAATGGAGCAGCCGGGTCTTGAACTGGCGCCCATATGGCATGCCGGCAGTTCAGGCCAGGGCATTAACCCACTGCGCCACAGTGCCGGCCCCCCTGTGAATGGATTCTAAGAGGCGCAAGTGATGACCCCTGTGCTTGGGTCCCTGCCACTTAGGTGGGAGACCCAGGTGGAGTTCTTGGCTCCCAGCTTCAGCCTGGCCCTGTTTTGGCTGTTAGAGGTACTTGGGGTGGGAACCATGGATGAAAGTAGATGAAAATAATTTTTTTAAAAGAATGTGTGTGTGTGTGTGTGAGAGAGAGAGAGAGAGAGAGAATGGAGAAAGACAAACAGTAGTGAAATTTTTTTTTCTTGTTTTTTCTTTCTTTTTTTTACTTTTATTTAATGAATATAAATTTCCAAAGTATAGCTTATGGATTACAATAGCTTTTTCCCCCCCATAACTTCCCTCCACCCAAAACACTCCCCTCTCCCTCTCTCTCTCCCATTCACATCAAGAATCATTTTCAATTCTCTTTGTATATAGAAGATCAATTTAGCATATATTAAGTAAAGCTTTCAACAGTTTGCACCCACACAGAAACACAAAGTGTAAAATACTGTTTGAGTAGTAGTTATAGCATTAAATCTCAATGTACAACAAATTTAGGACAGAGATCCTACATGAGGAGTAAGTGCACAGTGAGTCCTGTTGTTGACTTAACAAATTGACACTCTTGTTTATGGCATCAGTAATCACCCCAGGCTCTTGTCATGAGTTGCCAAGGCTATGGAAGCCTTTTGAGTTCGCCGACATCAATCTTATTTAGACAAGGTCATAATCAAAGTGGAAGTTCTCTCCTCCCTTCAGAGAAAGGTACCTCCTTCTTTGATGACCTGTTCGTTCCACTGGGATCTCACTTGCAGAGATCTTTCATTTAGGTCATTTTGTTTTTGCCACAGTGCCTTGGCTTTCCATGCCTGAAGTACTCTCCTGGGCTTTTCAAGCTGGATCCGAATGCCTTAAGGGCTGATTCTGAGGCCAGAGTGCCATTCAGGACATCTGCCATTCTATGAGTCTGCTGTGCATCCCGCTTCCCATGTTGGATGGTTCTCTCCCTTTTTTATTCTATCAGTTAGTATTAGCAGACACTAGTCTTGTTTATGTGAT